CCCCCCCCACCCAGCAGCCTGCCCCAAATCCCAGACTTTCCACCCCCAAATCAGGCCCTCCCACCAAGAACCGTCAAAAACACCACATAAACCCCTAAACACAACACAAAAAAACAGGCTCTAGGGTCAGGGCCTGCCCCCTTTTGGGGCAAATTCCCCACTTTTATTGGCCACCTGGAGCTGGTGGCCCCGGGGCAGCTGAGACCAGAGATCCCAGAGGGACCCAGGGGGGATCCCGGTCCCACTGCAAGATCCACAGGGGGATCTGGAGAGATCCTGGTCCCATCCCTAAAGACGAGAGCACGTGGCGACAGCCTGGTCTCATCCCAAGGATTCACAGCAGGATGCAGGGAGATCCTGGTTCCATCCCGAGGATCCGCAGGAGGATGCAGGAAGATCCTAGTCTCATCCCAAGGATCCAGGGCGACCCCGGCGCCCTGCTAGGTTTGGGCCGGGGCTCCGGGAGATCCCGGCTGCTCCCGGTGTTCCCAATACCGGCTGTAGACGTCATCAAAGAGGCTCTGGCAGCGCACGCGGGCCTGGAGCTGGGCGCATGCCAGGAAGGATCCGGCCATTTTCCGGTGCAGGGAATAGCTGGGCTCCGGCGGCGGCACCAGGCGCTCCCGGGGCATGGCCGGCACCAGCGCCCGGATGCGGCGCGCCGTGCTCTGCGCTCCGAAGTCGAAGGGCTCCGGAGACGCGAAGGCTTCGCCCAGGATCATCACAGCATCCACATGCGCCGCCTCGAACGCCTGCCGGAGCTGGAGCTGGAGAATCCGGACTCAACCCGGATCCACCGCCGCCCCTCTGGACCTCACCTTGGTCTCGAATCCCGTCAGGAACTTGAGATCCCTGGATTTCCGCAGCACCTTGTCCCGGTCGCCGTCAGCCGCGGCTCTCACCACCTGTGGGAGCGTGTGGGAACGGAAATGGAAAAATTCTGCAGAATTGTTGGAAAAAGCGGCTCCGGGAAGGCCAGCATGGCTTCGTGCATGCGCGGCCCCCACCTCGATGTAGTGATCTGTGAATTCCTTCGGGAAGGAGCGGCTGGCTCCAAAGTCCACCAGGGTCACCTGGGAGGTGGACGGAGAGCGAAAAACTGAGCGCGGACACCGGGATCCCCGGAAGGACAGACGGAGCCGGAGCGGCCTCCTTACCTGGTGCTTCCCGGCATCGTAAATGAAGTTGGCCCAGTTGGGATCCGTCTGCATGAAGCGGAACTCGAAGAGCTCCCGCAGGCAGAGGCGCAGGAGCTGGGAGCCGATCTGGGAATGGAGCGGGAACGCACGCTCATCCTGGGCCGTCCTGGCATTTCCGGCGTTCCCGCCTTCCCGGCGCACTCGCCTCGTCCCGCAGCTCCTGGCGTAGCTCCCGGCACTGATCCAGTGGGACACCGCTTCCCAGCTCCATACTGAGCACGCGCGCGGTGCTCAGCTCCTCGATGACGCGCGGCACCACGAAGAACGGCTCTTCCCGGAGCAGCCGCCTGCGGCCCGCATGGAGCATGGGACACGGAGCAGGAGACACGGAGCCGGGGGACGCGGAGCCGGGCATCCCCAGCATTCCCAGACCAGAATGTCCGGGCGCATCCGGCTTCGCGGCGATAGTCGCATTCCCATTCCAGCTCCTTCCGCAGGACGCGCAAAGCATTGTCGGCAAAGAGACCTGGACAAGAATAAGGATTACGGGGGGGGAAGCGCATCC